TCACAATTATATTATGCAAAATCGAAGTCTGTAAAATTATTTAATGAAAGTATCGAGGGTTCTGACCGTAGTTTCAAATTCCAAAATGGAAGTGGAATATTGTTATGAACTCTCATTTAATTACGGTCTGGAAATACCATTCATATTCACCATAATTATTCCATAAAACATTGAATTCATTTGTAAAATTATTTAATAAAAGTATCGAGGGTTAGTTCTGACCGTAGCTTCAAATTCCTGAATGGAGGTAGAAAATTGTTACAAGCTCTCATTTAATTACAGACTCGAAAAAGCGTTCATATTCGCCACAATTATTCTTTAAAAAACATTGAATTCATTTGTAAAATTATTTAATAAAAGTATCGAGGGTTAGTTCTGACCGTAGCTTCAAAATCCTGAATGGAGGTAGAAAATTGTTACAAGCTCTCATTTAATTACAGACTCGAAAAAGCGTTCATATTCGCCACAATTATTCTTTAAAAAACATTGAATTCATTTGTAAAATTATTTAATAAAAGTATCGAGGGGTAGCTCTGACCGTAGTTTCAAATTCCTGAATGAAGGTAGAACATTGTTATGAACTTTCATTTAATTACAGACTCCAAAAAGCGTTTATATTCATCACAATTATATTATGCAAAATCGAAGTCTGTAAAATTATTTAATAAAAGTATCGAGGGGTAGCTCTGACCGTAGTTTCAAATTCCTGAATGAAGGTAGAACATTGTTATGAACTTTCATTTAATTACAGACTCCAAAAAGCGTTTATATTCACCACAATTATACTATGCAAAATCGAAGTCTGTAAAATTATTTAATGAATGTATCGAGGGTTCTGACCGTAGCTTCAAATTCCTGAATGGAGGTAGAACATTGTTACGAGCCGTCATTTAATTACAGACTGGAAACGGCGTCGATATCCACCACTGTAACAACGTGTATCTCTCGGAAGGGGTTGGAAACGCTCGAATAAGCGTGTATCTAAGGTGGCAGGCAATTAGTAGCGTTATTTGATGGGCAAACAGCGATTAACTATTCCGAAGCGCCGGAGGGAACGAGATGGACAGAGACGAAGAGTAACCGAGACTTTGTTAAGGTTACAGTCTGGACCGGAGATTGTATCCAACCAACATGGACCACTCACGGATTTAGAAACAAGATATTCAGTTGCTCGAAGCAATAACAAGAATTGTTTGCAACTATCTGTCGATCGTTTTGAAAAATAGATATTATTTTGAAACGATTCTCTGTTCACTGGAATTGAAATATCTTTTACGTCGATTAATTTTTGACCTAAACGAGTTGTGTGAATGCATTATGTTGCTCCGATGTTGCATTGTTGCCCGTTAATCGGACGATCGGCTAACCGGTACAGTTTAAACGCGACCGAATTCCTTGTCGTGAATGGTCACCGGAAATCGGATGTTCATTGTTCGATGTAATTTTACATTATCGTCGCGACGACACCGACGACGCATGTTTTCTGCGTGACTCGACCGGCGCGTTCAGTTTTTCCCCCCCTTCTTTTTCACCGTTTTCGTTTCATACGCAAATTGTAAAATACCGTTGGACGCAATCCTGTGACATCAATTACACGCAATTCTCTTTTTCACGCTGTCGTTCTTTTTTTTTACACGGTTTTGAGTTCGCTCGTTATTCCTTGAAAATAACTACATTTTCATTGACAACGTTTATGTCGCGATTTTTCCTTTTATTTATATTTCCAGCATTTTTATTTTACGTGGATACACGTAACGAGGAATTTTAATTTTACTTTACAGGAAAATACAAATTTTACATTACTATATGAGAAACATTATTCTCGAAAAGCTGTAATGTGATTCTCTACCTTGGATTTAATATAAATATAATTTAACGTGTTACCGTTTATTTGTTAATATTAGAGATTGCGTTTGGTCAAGTAGATTAATCCTATTAACTTTCCGATATCAAAGTTCCGTTCGAATGATGTACTTATCGGTATTTTCCAATACGCTTGTAATTAGCACGATTAATACGCGTGATTATGCCCTTGTAAACGATCGATCGATGGACCTGTTTTAATAGATTTCACAATTAGAGCTCACCAAAAAGACGCTTTCTCGTTTAATTCGATTAATACCCTCGAGTTCGCGACTTTGTTTTCAAGACAGAAAGACGTCTACTTTAACTTTTCTGTATTTGTCAATTAATATCCATTATAGACTATACATAGACTACACATTTATAAAAATGAACATTCTTACAGGTTGAAAATTTATTACGTGATTAGAAGATTATAAAAATGTGTTGTTTCATATATCGATGGTCGAAGTTTGTTGTTCATATGTCGAAAGTCGAAGTTCGATATACACAAATCGAAACTCGAAATTCAGCAGTGCCCGCGCCAAGTACATACATTGTCAAATTGATTTGGTTCGTCGGTGAATTCTGTTAATATAACTCTGCAATATCGATAATAATAGTACGCACGTAATCAGCGTAAACTGCATACCTCATCAAAACCATGTTTTCACAGTAGAGCCTTGAGTTGCTAATTAAGCGTTAGATGTGGGCGGTCTGTGTTTCGAATTCAGTTTAGTTTCATTATTACAATTACAGGACGCGGCAAAACAATCTCCCACATTTTGATCCGCCACCATCTGTGCTACCATTTTACTAAATTAATAGGAACAAAGGAAGCGGATAACAATCGGCCATTATCGGATTACGCGAAACACCATATTAGAAATGTTCAGCCTGTTAAATTCATTCGTAGATCATCGAAACTAAAAATAAAATAAAACAAGTCGATTGGCTCAATAAAATTGTGTGGTGAATAATATTGCTCAAATATTTTACATGTTTGCGTATCGAATGCACCGAGAATGGCTTCTTGAAATTTTGGGGGTCCAACCGTCGAGTGAAAAACATTTTCGAACAATTTCGATCCCCGAATTTGGATTCGATCCAGGACAATTCTCCGGGCGGTTGTGTTCGGTGTGTTTTCCAGCGTCCTCGGAAAAACGTCCTTCCCAATAAAGGGAGGCCTACAACCGGGGGGTTTCCGGCGAAATTTCGTTACACGGGCCGTGATTCCCCAGTCGTCGACCGAGAGTTTGAAAATTTAAAGGGTGCAAATGAGAACCGGCGCGACCCCGAAGCTGCAACGCCTCCACCGACGGGGGACGAAGTTTGCTCCCCCGACGAAACAGAGATTTTTCGAGTCACGTCGGTTTTACTCGTCACCATTTTTTTTTAAGAGACTCTCTCTCCACGGTAATTCTTTTTTTTCCCTCCCATGCAACCCCTCGGGCCAGCGAACCGTAAACAACGAGAGGACCCAGGGCTCTTTCATCGACGTCGTTTCAGCGGATTAAAATTCTCGCTAAATGCTCAGTGCTTCCTATTGCTACTATTTTCCTTTCTTCTTTTTTTACTACAAATTTTTCAATTCTAGTTTCACCTCGGGTTTCTAAGAGTCGGGGAAATATGGGGTGAACTACATTAACCCTTCAGGACATGAATTCTCGTTCGTTGTTTAGTGAAAATAAATGGAAAGATTTATTGCGTTTATTGGGAATTAGATAGTGTACTGGGCTGGGGAAAATTTGAAATAATTGGTAATCATTAAATGGTAATAAATGGAAAACATTGATATATGAGTAAATACTATTTCGTTAAATGTTTAAATCATGAGAAAATACTACTTACACGTTCAAATGTAGAAAACAGCGAAGTGAAAATGAGACATGCGAATTTTAAAATTAATCATATTTCGTAAATGCCACTCGCTATCTTCTATTGGAATAATTATTTCTGAATGCAGATGTCTTATGTTATCGACAAAAGTACATAATACTATAAAAAATTAAAGGACAGAAACCTCCTATTTGCAATAATATTAATTTAAATACCATTACTCCAAATACTATACTGTGAAATATTACTACTTCAAATAATTATGTTATCGACAAAAGTACATGATACTTTAAAAAGTTAAAGGACAGAAACCCTCTTATTTGCAATAACATCAGTTGAAATACTATAGTGTGAAATATTACTACTTCAAATAATTATGTAATCAACAAAACTACATAGTACTATAAAAATTAAAGGATAAAAACCTCTCATTTGCAGTACTATTAGTTGCAAAAATATTCCAAATACTACACTATGAAATATTACAATTTGATGAAATATCATTTTCCTATATCTCAATGAAATACTCATTTCACAGTACGTATGAGAAAATAAAAATATTTACATTCTATTTACTATTTTCCCACAGCCCTGTTGTACGAATATGAGAGTAACTATACACCGATAATTTAGTCACCGATCGAACAATATCGAAGAGAAGAATTGGGAACCGGAAGCAAACAAAATCGTAAAATAAAAATTAGAATTCGGAATTGCGTTGTTTCAAGTCCGTCCACTCGAATAAACGCGTTGTTTTTATTCGTCCGGCGATAAAAATTTTGCTCCCGGTCGACAAGTGACGTACCTTTTCGACCCTCGTCGGGAAATCAGGATGAAGTAAAAAGAGCTGAACCAACAAGCAACATTTCGGTCTGGAAAGCTGCTTAGCCGCTCGCCGCGTTCGCCTGGTTTAGCCTCCCGCGACTATTTTCTCTTTTCCAAGTTGGAAATAAAGCCGAAAGGAAAGCAGTTCGACACGCCTCCCAGACGTTCGAGAGCTTCGACCGCCGCTCTTTCCGCGAAGGATGAATAACGTAAATATTTCTCAACGGTATCGTAATCGTTGTAAATTGTATTTTTCCATCGCGTATTACCAATAACGGAGAATCCAGTCTAGAATTGTCGGAGATTTACGAAAGGGAAATAAACGATAAGGAGGTACCCTCGTCGTGTTGTATCGTTTTAACGCCTGATTCGATTCAACAGGCCATTCTATTGTTCGAGCGCCAATCGATAGAAATCAGTCTCGAAAACGCGCGAACTCCTCGAACGAGCAACGTTGAAATAAACGTTTCCGGGATCAAATAAATCGCACTCACCCACGTGGAAAGCAACGAGGTGTCGTAATTCAGGATCGACGCCCAGTCGAGAACGTCTCGATACGTCCTGGTAGCCCAGCTTTTGGAGAAATTGGTCCTGTATCTCCAGCGGTTTCTCGCGGCTGGCCAATCTCCTTCCGGTCTCGCCCCCGTACTGAAAAAGAAACCAACGTAATCTCTTAATGGATCTTATCAAAAAGCGCGCTAAACGCGGCGTAGAAATCTCGACGGGTCGCTTTTTATTTCGACGCTCGCTCAGAAAAATAAATGAATTTTTTTTAAATCAAATTTTGTATCAAATCATGAATATCTCGTTTCTAAAAATTCCCACACCGCGAAGATTTTTAATTAACGCGTCTACGGGAACGCTGTTTCGTTAAAATAATTATCACCTCGCGTCACGATAATATCGTCCAAGTACTTACTCGTCTCTGTTATTTACGTTTCGTTGTTCCGTGGGAGATCCAAGTGTTTGTTGATCCACGGTTCGATCGAAACTGAGGCTCGAGTTTCTCGATAACCGTGTTTATCGTCCTAGCGGGATTTTAATATCGTCGACTGTGAAAGTTTCAGATTCGTCTTCGTTGTAAGACAGATCGCCCGTCCCTAAGAAACTGTTTCCCCGAATCGTCGATCGAACGGTTTCTCGGAGGGGGGGAAAAAGTCACGGTTCGGTCAAACACCCTTTTTAGGTGCAATCAGTCGGAATACGACGAACTTTGATCTTCCCGGAATCGCTACGGCGAAATCGGTTTTACTTTTTCTCCTCGATCTTTGATCTCTGTCGACTTTATGTATTTTTATCTCTCGCAATTTTTCCACCGTTCGCGCAACAACGCACAAAAGATTCAGGACATCTTCACTGTACTGTCTAGAGGAGACTTCGAACGTTGAATGTGGAATCTTACATATTTAAACTATTAATAGGAAAGTTTCCAGTTTATCGATGTTTTCTAATTTTGAGTATTCGAGTTCGAACGTTTTATTTTTGTTTCACTGTGGCTCCCGTTGTATTTGCGGATGACACAATTTTCGTTTATTGACACGGAAGCGCGACGACTGTTAAAAGTTTATTCGGGAATATTATTAAATATAATCGACCGCGAGATTTTTACATCGCCGTTTCGTCCACGCGCAATTAAAATATCTCGTTTCCGCTCGAAACGAATATTCGCGAAAACGCGACGTTTTTCGGATACAGTTTTTCGCATTAGCGCGTATTGTCGCCGTTTCTCTCTGAAAATACTTGTTTCGTTGATTGCTTTGCGATTGATGGTCGAAAAAAATTAATTCTTTTTTTTTTAAACGTTACTACGGGTAGATATATTATTAATTTGGTGAAATTTTGAACAGATCGACGTGGTATAATGAAGACCATTCTTAATAGACATTGGAAAATATATAATTATAAATTATTAAACTATTCTCTGTATAAAATATGTTTTAGATCAAAATTTTTGGGTTTTGAGAGAAAATCGACTTTGAATGCACTTTTGCATATCACCATGTCTGACCATTATCGATTATTACTACTTACGGTTGTTATTATACACACATTTACACTGTAGTTTCGTTCGAAATTGACATTCAAAACTATGGGTTCGTCTGTTTTAACCAGACCTATCTACTGAAATAAATAATATCAACGACAATGTTGCAAGACCAGCGTTTTAAGTAGAAACATCGAGCGATGGTCAAACTCGTTAACCAAGCCAATCAAGTAAGAAACTTACAATAAACGACCACTGGCATTCCCGAATAAAAAGGAGGGTAAAGTCTTTGAAAGAAAAGCAAAATCCAATATTTTCAAAGGAAAAGTAACGGACCGATTCACAAAGCAAATAAGCTTCCATGTGGTTTTCTTTTTTCACAAATATTGGACTTTTCTTCTCTTCTGACGAGCTCTCTGTTGTATAAAGCTACAAAAACTTTGCGACTTCCATAAATAAAAAACTACTGTTTTCTCCACAAAAACGTATAAATACCTACAAAGCTACGAGCCTGCAAAGGGTTGATAAATAACTAATATTTTCAGTTAATTTTCATTCGAAGTGAGGCAAAGTATTGCAACGGACCAGAGAAAAATGTTTCGCGACGCGTGTTGGGTCCTCGTTAGGTAAATTCCGAAATCTACGAATGAAACAAAAGGCAATAAGCATTGTTCATTCGTGTGACAACGAACAGACGCGTGCACATAAAGGCTGTCTATATGTAGAGACGACTGCAGTTCCTGCAATACTCTAGAGACGCAACCGTGGATTATTCCCTTTCTCCTAAGTTCAGCAATTCAGCGTAATTTCCTTTGGAGCCACTATCATCGCCGACAAAGCTCGTGTAGCTGTATACCCAAATTGCCATAAAAGCGCATCCTCGTTGAAGGCGAGCGAGTGTCCTCGCCACGCTCAATATAGAGTCCGATCTAATGAGGATTTGTCTCTAAGCTACGTTAAACCATCCGTCGTTCAAATTTGGCTCCGATAATACAGACTTCGAAAGAAAAAATAATCTAACTTCAAAAACACGCACCAACTATCATAAAATTTATCTCAATAAACAAGAACCTAAAATTTCCTCCAAGTAAACATTTCCCTCCTCCAAAGCAAACTAATTACTCGATTGAAAGCATATTTTTTCTTAAATCTAATATATTTATACACTTTTCTTTAGAATATTATTAAAATCTTCACGTTTATTTATCACAAAATTTTTCAATATTCAGTATATTGAATTTTTTTCTAGAAAGTCCGTAGGACAATCAAAAATGATTTTAATTGACCCCCGCAAGCGAAAAAACTTATTTCAGAACGAATTGAAATTTTCCCCCTGTTGATTTTTCTTAGATCCATTTCTGATTTTTAGTCATTTTGTTTGACGCCTCATGGAAAAGTTGTCTAATATTTTTTTATAGGTACCAATGAGCTCTACTTCAGAAAAAAGTTTCATTTAAATATATTCACTATTGTAGGAGTTATGGCTGTTTGAAAATTGGATTATTTTTATGGGGTTTTTCTCACTTTACGGGGTCAAGAAACAACGTTTTCAATGTTTTTAGAATTTCTACATATTCTTCACTAAAATACGCGTTGTTTGCTTTTTTAAACATTAAAATCATCCAATCTGTTCAGGAGTTATGACATTTTAAAGATACGCTTGAAATTTCAGGGAAAAGTTTTATATATGGTCAGACATTCAATTTTCGGTAAGGAATTTTTTTCTCGAAAGTGTGTAGGAATTCGGGAGTATGTGTAATGACCAAAAATGATTGTAATCGACCCCTGCAACGAAAAATAATTTTTGTAAAACGATTTGAAATTTTTTAATTTCGCCGAAGAGTTTGTCCACCTTCTATTATAGTGATTCGGATAACCAGGTGCCAGATAATCCGAACAATACTATACCATTCGTACGTTTCTTGATTTTCGTCTTATTTTGGCAATCTCCCATTAAAATTTTCCCCAGAGATGGCCGAACATACTGTATATTTGATAAAATATTTTGTTCTCGATCGTAAGTTTTCTATTGCCGACGAACGAGTATTTTATTTCACCGACGTACGAATTTTCCCCCCGAAATCTGTTATTGCGGTTGCTATTATTCCAACGCGACGTTCTTTTTGCCGGAATAGAATTCCGGGAACCGGGACGAAAATTCTTTTCAAACACGAAAAGCTGGAGATCCTTCCATCCGCCAAAATCTCATCTCCAAAGAAACGGGATATTGCGAGCGAGCCAAGCTTCGCGAGAAGTAGCTTTTCGCGAAAAAAGATTCTTCGTTCCATCATCCATTTTCCGATCGGTCGATTCGATTTCGTCCAACGATCCGACCTGTCAACTTGGAAACGTATTGTCGCGTGTGTCGATCGTCGGACTACGTACGAAAACAAATGGCGCGAATTCTCTCTGAATTTCTCTTCACAGAGCCGCGTGCAAAAGGTCTTTAATGAAGGGTCATTAAAACCATCGTTATTTCGGTGGCCGTTTCTCTGTATACCTTCGATGAATTGATTGGAGACCTTTCAGCGTCGCGGACGCTCACAATCAGTATGGATTTTCGACGCTGTTATTGCGGATTTGCGGTCCCATTCGAATTGCTAAATTTCGAGGACAATTTCAATCACGATTCGGTGTACTTGATAGAAAACGGTGATTTATACGCACTGTACTCGGTATTGCTTGCTCGTTCTTTCAGAAAAAAACACTATTTGATCGATAGCTTGCAATTTTTGTGAAAATTGGTCTCGGAATTATTTTTTTGATACAAAATAATTCGAAGTTCTAGCTCGAAATGTCAACTACGTTACTTTTCATGGATTGGCTTAAAAAACTCGATTCATGACTATGTATATGACTCGATATATGACTGGGATATAATATCATAATTTATATTCCAAATTTTAAGTTAAAACAATTCTTGTGTCGAAACTATGTGTGTTTCAAAAGTTTCACCTGTTATTTGGATTAGCTAATTGTCAGAGAAGCACGGCGTTATAGGAAATGTTTAGGTACTTATATAATTTTATAAACTGCTTTTCGAATTTCCAGGCACACGTAAATTTTCACACGCTTCTCGTTGCCATCGTTCGCTCTCGATTATTCATTTTCTAAAAGGTATTCTCTTACCCGCCCCACACAAACTTGTTTCCCACAAGACAAAACTGATCCTCTAACGTAACTTAAAACTAACACGTTCCCCGGACGCTAGATGAAAGGACACTCTAAACTAACGCTGCCTCTAAAACACGAAACGCTGTAATCTAAATGTTTAGCCTCTATATTATGTTAGAAAATTGAAATTTATATTTTAAAATAGAATTACGTTTCACGCTGAAATAATTTGCCTAAAACACAAGACGCTATAATCGAAATTTTCAGTGTCTACATTACAGAAGAAAATTGGAGTTTAAATCTCCAATAATTATATATAATATAAATTTCACTCTGTAATTGAAATTCTAGTATAAAATTTTTTATTCAAATATGAGCCAATAAAAAATCTCACGAGACCATAATGAGTTTTGAAAAGGAGAACTGCGACCCTTGACCCTTCCATTCTACTGAAATTAATTTTCTCCATTCTCTTTTCCAAAGCTATCGCAGTTTTCTTTACGTAAAAGTAAAGCACGTGCAAATACCGAGGTCAACAAAAATTAGACGA